ATATGTAAAATTTTAGAATTGATTGTATTTGTTGTCAATGGATAACTAACTTCTTACTTATTGCTAATCTATGCTTAACTCTATTAAAAATCTTAATTCTCTTCACATGTCTCTAATTCTTTCATTTTCTTTCATTTTATTTGTAAAATTGTTGAGATTATTGAGATCATGATATTTTCCCAATTATGCGCTAAAACATCATTCCTGTCATTCCAAACATTTATCATTTGATGGCATTTTTAATATATATTACTCACAATTTTGTCAGTAGATTATTTTATTTTAAAAGTTAACGTTTGATATATAATCGGTTTTGAATTTTGTTTATTATTTTGAAGCGAATAGACATTTGAGGTTTTATTTACTATTTGCAGAACTGAATAATGTAAATCTCAAACACCATAATCTCAATGATTTGTCGTCTAATAATATTTGCCAAACCATAAACACGAACAACATTTCCTCATATCCACAAACTTCACACTCGTTTTCACCAAATGTTAATCAAATCAGAATTGAATCCACACTCGATAGAGACCATCGAAGAGCTGTAAGTTTTGTTTGCAAACGCGTAAAGAGTTAATACATGTTATTATTTTGCTATAAGAAACTTCGTTTGGATAAAGAATATTATGTTTTCCGAGAGTTAGTTATGTCTGAGAGAACCTATAAAAAGGATATCGAACTCATAAATACAGTTAGTATTTGAATACAATTTGAATATAATTTAGATTCTGATATAAATAACTAAATGATTGTCTCCTTCAGTGGTTTAAAGAGGATGTGAGTAAAGAGACGACACGACCGGCAGAAATGTTATCACTTTTGTTTTCTGCAACCGAACCTCTATTTGAAATTCATCACAATTTTTTGCAACAAATTGAACATATTTTAGTCATTTGGTCAGTGTTTGTCTCAATTGGCTCTAAATTTATAGTAATGTTTAACAACAAAATATTTTACTTTCTAAAGGGAAGGGAAGTCTGCACTCCATTCTAACCGATCCATTGGAGATATTTTAAAAGATATCATTCAATGGTTACCCGTAAGTAGTGTTTGTTGTTTAGGAACACCCGAACAGAACGGACTCTTCATAAGATTGCATTGAAATATTGTTTCCATTAGTTATACGAGAGACTCATTGAGAGACTTCCTTTCATTCTGGAGAGGATTAACGCTAGTTTCAGACACAACAAAGATTTTGAACGAGTTTGTCGTGATTTTGAAGCAAGAAAAGGCTGTTATTTGCCCTACACTTCGTTTATATTGAAACCTGCTTTCCATATAACACATTATTTGCAAATTATTGAAAGTAAATAAGTTTAGAGTTTAAGTTAAATGAACTTTTTAAACAATTGATTTTTTTCAGATTTATCCAAATTTTACGTCAATAATAGCTCCGAATTTGCCAAATATTTATGTAATTCTGTTTTATTTTGTATTTTATTTTCTTTAAATTTAGTTAATAATTTTTTGATTATTATTTTCAGTTATTATTGAACAGCTAAAACAATTCAATGATGAATATTCTGTGACATTGAATTCTCTGGTATTTAAAAACTGAAATTCAAATATAATGGTTAACTAATTATTTATATAATGTTTAGATTAATTTAGTTATTCTAATTGAATTACAACGAGATATAACAGGAATGGATAATATTGTCCAATCGGGTCGAGTAAGTCTCGCTATTTCACTGTTTTGGTTACATATTAATTGATTGCTATTTGTATGAACAGAGGTTTGTTAGAGAGGGATGTCTTCTCAAGTTATCAAAGAAGGGATACCAACAAAGACTTTTCTTTCTGGTATTTTAAATGATATGTTACCATAATTTACGGCAATTAATATGTATTTATTGTACAGTTTTCTGATATATTGATATACGCGAGTCGGTCAGCATCGGTACAGTTCCAGTTCAAAGTTCACGGACACCTCTCTCTGCAACAGATTATGGTTGAGCCGACAGAACCTAAATTGGGGGTCAATTTTTGTTTCACAATATATGCCGGCGAAAGAGCTCTTATGGTGGCCGCGAAGTATGTCAATGAATGTGTGTTTCCTCTAATGTTGATTAATATTTTTATATGTATTACTAGTTCTGAAGAAGAAAGACGTATTTGGTTAAGAGATTTGTCGGAAACAGCCGTCAGTTTATCTCGTATTAATGGCAACGAAACGCTTCCATTCATACCAACCATTATCTCGTCGAACGAACTCTTGGATAAAATCGATAACGCGTTGAGTCAGAAATGGATTCAAAAATCGGAAAATGTGTCTCAAATGGAAAATATCGATAAACTTCACTACAGATCCAATACTATGGCTCACGTCTGTTGGCACAGGAACTGCAGTATAAGTGCTGCCGATTACGAACACGCGCTCACTGTATGCAATGGTCTTTCTCTTCTAACAACTATTGTTTAATTGAATTGTTTTTATCGTTATTTACATCTAATAGAGTTGTTTGAGTGGATATTTGCTCAGAAAATTCAAGAATAGCAGCGGTTGGCAGAAGTTGTGGGTTGTATTCACTCACTTCTGTCTGTTCTTCTATAAGTCCTGTCAGGTTTGGCCAATCATTTCATTTGCTTTTGAAATGAATAAACTAAATAATTTTGTATATTTTTAGGACGACTTTCCATTGGCCAGTCTTCCGGTGATTGGATACACGGCTAGTATGCCATCCGAAACGGATAATATGAATAAGAGTTATGTGTTTAAATTGCAATTCAAAACTCATGTCTACTTTTTTCGTACGGAAAGTGAGTACACATTCAGACAATGGATTGAAGTCATAAGAAATTCTACAATCAATTCGGATTCATCTCAACACACAATGCAATAGATATATACAATAATTTCATAGTATAATAATTGCAATACTCCACACATTATTAATAATATTCTCAATTATTTATTCATTTAATTCAGTCTATGTATTGAATGTTTCATTAATTCTGAAACTCATGTCAAACACTCATTCATTGAATTAATTCTGCGATGATTTGTATTCAATTGTTTATATAGTTATACATGAAATGATTTTATGAATTACAATTAATGTTCTCATTTTAATAATACTCTTAAAATGTCATACAATTTATACACATAATTAAGGGATAGACTGGGATAGCAATGGTTTCTACACAGAATTATAATTATTTATTAATTTAAAATTGATAATAATTGATGCCTTTATATCATGAGTGCCTTACAATTGGCAATTGGCTTTAAATTATTGACATTCGTTTGTAAAGTTTAATTGAATGTTGTTTTTAGATAAACTTATTATTTTCTATAACTAATATCAATTAATATTAGAAACAATCGATATTCTCTATAAAAATCTTGATTATAAAATACGATAATTTATTTGATAATAAAGTGCCTTAAAAACGACATAAAGACAAACAATTTGACTAATGTTTTTTAATTCTTTAAAATTTAAAGTTTAAATCATGAATAATATAAATAAAATAGTATTAATTAAAACTCAATTTGATTTTTACTAATTACGGACTTATTTTAATAATATTTCGATATTTATATTGTGTTACAATCAAAAGTGTATAACATTGAAAACATCATTTCAACCGAATATCATTCAGTTGTATTGCAATTGCATTTAATATAATAAAAATCGTTAGTTTGCAATTCAATGCTTTCATTTTATAATGTATTGCAGTAATGAATATATTGTTGAATAGGAACACGTTGTTCCTTATGAAGAGGTATTCCCCAGAGAGGGGTTTCCTAGAGATGTTCCACAGTATATTCGTATTAGTGCTCCATTTGACGGGGCATTTATATTTCTAGCTCTAAACAAATACGCCGACAAAGCTATAAATAGTAGAAATAACTTTCAATGCACTAAACTTGAAGTGATGTCCACTTATTACTTGCGATTCTCTACTATTTTTAGTCACTCCAAGTATTGAACTCTATTTCTGTTTTTATTTTATCGCTATTCGTGTGAAAAGAGAAGGCCATTGATTATCAGCCCATAAAATGAGGCAAAGATAAAGTTTCATATAAATAATATTAATGTGAATGAATCTGAATGTGAATTAATTAACCACTTTTTAATTGAATTCGTAAAAATGGTTAAAATTGTTGGCATAGAATTCGCTCCACTATTGATGCCAATTGAAAGACGACTGCAAACACTTGCGGTTCTGTATTACAGCAGTTCCTTCCTCTTTATCGGGAGTCTATCGGTCTTTACATTAATATTTTTACTCTTCACGCGGTATTACTTCATATCATTTTTANAGACTTACTCGACCCGATTGGACAATATTATCCATTCCTGTTATATCTCGTTGTAATTCAATTAGAATAACTAAATTAATCTAAACATTATATAAATAATTAGTTAACCATTATATTTGAATTTCAGAATTTAAATACCAAAGAATTCAATGTCACAGAATATTCATCATTGAATTGTTTTAGCTGTTCAATAATAACTGAAAATAATAATCAAAAAATTATTAACTAAATTCAACGAAAATAATATACAAAATAAAACAAAATTACATAAATATTTGGCAAATTCGGAGCTATTATTGACGTAAAATTTGGATAAATCTGCAAAAAAATCAATTGTTTAAAAAGTTCATTTAACTTAAACTCTAAACTTATTTACTTTCAATAATTTGCAAATAATGTGTTATATGGAAAGCAGGTTTCAATATAAACGAAGTGTAGGGTAAATAACAGCCTTTTCTTGCTTCAAAATCACGACAAACTCGTTCAAAATCTTTGTTGTGTCTGAAACTGGCGTTAATCCTCTCCAGAATGAAAGGAAGTCTCTCAATGAGTCTCTCGTATAACTAATGGAAACAATGATATTTCAATGCAATCCTATGAAGTCTGTTCCGTTCGTGTGTTTCTAAACAACAAACACTACTTACGGGTAACCATTGAATGATATCTTTTAAAATATCTCCAATGGATCGGTTAGAATGGAGTGCAGACTTCCCTTCCCTTTAAAAAGTAAAATATTTTGTTGTTAAATATTAATACAAATTGAGACAAACACTGACCAAATGACTAAAATATGTTCAATTTGTTGCAAAAAATTGTGATGAATTTCAAATAGAGGTTCGGTTGCAGAAAACAAAAGTGATAACATTTCTGCCGGTCGTGTCGTCTCTTTACTCACATCCTCTTTAAACCACTGAAGGAGACAATCATTTAGTTATAAATCTAAATTATATTCAATCAAATACTAACTGTATTTATGAGTTCGATATCTTTTTTATAGGTTCTCTCAGACATAACTAACTCTCGGAAAACATAATATTCTTTATCCAAACGAAGTTTCTTATAGCAAAATAATAACATGTATTAACTCTTTACGCGTTTGTCATACAAACAACACTTACAGCTCGTCGATGGTCTCTATCGAGTGTGGATTCAATTCTGATTTGATTAACATTTGGTGAAAATGAGTGTGAAGTTTGTGGATATGAGGAAATGTTGTTCGTGTTTATGGTTTGGCAAATATTATTAGACGACAAATCATTGAGATTATGGTGTTTGAGATTTATATTATTCAGCTCTGCAAATAGTAAATAAAACCTCAAATGTCTATTCGCTTCAAAATAATAAACAAAATTAAATAAATTCAATTAAATCAAAACCGATTATATATCAAACGTTAACTTTTAAAATAAGACAATATACTGACATAATTGCGAGTAAAATATATTAAAAATGCCATCAAATTATAAATGTTTGGAATGACAGGAATTATGTTTTAGCGCATAATTGGGAAAATATCATGATCTCAATAATCTCAACAATTTTACAAATAAAATGAAAGCAAATGAAAGAATTAGAGACATGTGAAGAGAATTAAGATTTTTAATAGAGTTAAGCATAGATTAGCAATAAGTAAGAAGTTAGTTATCCATTGACAACAAATACAATCAATTCTAAAATTTTACATAT